GGTAGCGACTGTAGGAGTGGACGTAAACTAACCAGGATGGTACCCAGGCTACTGTATGTGTACAATTTTCAACACAATCCATGCTGAGTCACAAAACTTGCATTAATGATAAAGTGTTGACATTTAGAGAAAGTTCAAACTAACATTGCATGACAAAATGATACATGGAGATGGAGTCTTACCAGCATTGGCAACAAAGAGAACCCCTTTCTCCTGTGGCAAGTCCTTCTCTACGGACGAAGGATTTGTCCTGGCCGTCTTCGCCTCGTCTGTTTCATCGTCTGACACGTCCTCCATGTTGGCGTTCTGTACGAGGCACGTGAGCGTGGAACACCCGCTCCACCGTACACGGGACTGCTCGTCTCTCCCGCGCGTCAGGACCCAGTCAGTCTGCTGGTGCGCTCGTCTGAACGCCGTGGCTATGTCCTCTGTGTACGGATCACCGGGTACTGTGGCCTCGCCTGCTTTCGTGGACCGAGCCGTCTCGCCATCTTGGTTGACGCTGCGATACGTGACTGCCGTCTCGTCTTTGTCCTTCAGGTTCAAGTAGTCTTCAGGGTGTTGTAGATCCTCTGGGCGATCGTACACGACATCTGAATCAAACTTCGCCACCTCTTCGATAAGGTATCGGTGAAGTTCATCAGACGCAACCTCTGCCGCAAATGGGCCGTGGTGTCCGTCGTACAGAGCGAAAAATGTCTTGTTTGGATCTTCGCCGAAGTGGTTCTGGAACACTCCAAAGTCTTCCATAGATGTGCGCCATCTGGGATTTGCATCCGCACATATCCCAACAGCCCTTGCACACTGGGCGCTACAGTTGAGCGCGATTCCCTCGATGTCTACCTGGATGTCTTCTCGGACTTGCCGGAAGACTTCGTAAGTGCCCTCCAAGTCCGATTTGAGCAGTTCGTAGGCATCGTTGATTTTCCGTAGCTTGTCTTGCGGGATGGGTTTTTCAGGGGTAGCCTCAGATGTCAGCCTCTTTAGGAGCCTCTTTCTCCTTTCGATGAGCTCTTCCAGGCTATTTGGCTCCGTGACTCCCTGATATCCATACATCTTCAGAGCCTTATGGAATGCCCTGTGCTCGTTAAAGTCGCGAATGTCCATGAAGTTCCTGCACTGTTCACACTGAATGGTGATGTCGGGTTTGATGGGGTAGTCTGTGATGAGTGTTTCCGGACTCTTCGCGCCATCCCCCCGGCCCTTGCGTGTTCCTGTGTACCTGGTGGTCCTACGGCCGGTTGTAGACGGCCCCTGAAGTTCCTCTTGGTCGGAGTTTGAACTCTGTTCAGAGTCGCTGTGGACCAGCTGCGGCTTAATCATACTGGACCTGGAACAAATCAGGAAACAGTTTGTCAACAACAACATGTTAACAGGGTCCAGTTGCTTTTAAAATTATGGTTTAATTGTTATAACGTTAATTGTACTCTGACACTTGACTAGTTTCAAGGATTTTTAAAATTTTTTTTCAGGTCTCATTTCTTTCAGCTTTTGATAGTACATGTATTTTTAATTCTACCCGGTAACGTTACATTTTTTCACATAAATATCTGCACCAATAATAATAATAAAAGGGTCAAAGTTTATGTGCAGATTAATTAATGGCGGTTGAGAAATCCTCATCGTATTTCTGACGAATAACTTGTCCACAGAGCGGACGTATTCTCTCAGTCTTGTGGAAAATAACCTTCACTGAAGAAGGTGTTGTCAAAACTAATCCTTATTCAAGCACAATAAGCCAGGCTTAAGTCATTTTCTGGGATCTGTCAACATCGTTGGGAAAAATAAAGCAGGTCAGACATAACAATCTGGGGCGGGAAAATGGGCTATAAGCGCCACATAATCTACGATTAGATACTTTGACCGTAATCAATAGAAATTCTTCCTAAGTACCCATCGTCCGAAAATTCCGATGCAGAGTCGGAGTAGACCTCGGAAGCCGAGGCCGAGCTCTCGCGCCAACTTTCTGCGCCGTCCTCCATGTTGATTTTCCGCCGCGGTACGACACAGTCTCTACGTGTTGTTAATGGTAAACTGATCAGACTTACCTTGGTTCTCACGCTAATGACCCTCGTTAAACTGAATAAATTGGAGTAGAATAAAGGGCTCAAGTCATTATTTTGTCGTCCCGACCACCGACGTCACGGTCCTGCACGCAGCCATTTTGCTTTCTAATTTACTGGCTCCCTCCCTCCTTAAATAATGTTTTATGTTACCTTTTTCATCAAAACTCCACGTTTTTCTACCTTAGGTAGACACATTTATTACATACGTTGTATATTATTACAAATACGACAATGAATAGTTCTTGTTGTATCATTTTAGATTGTCAGTATTTTATTTAACCGCCACGAAGGGAGAACAGATATTAAAAGGAAAAGCCAGTTTGTTTGCTAAGGCCTTTACCGTTGCCAAGGCAATGACCCGAGGTCAACAAAGTTAGCTGGTGGGACGGCAACATTGCGATTGCATTGCACTAAGGAGGGTTATATTCTCCTTTATTGATTCAGGTCCACCGCCTTCGTCTATAATATGATGTTTTTCTGACTTTGGATATACGCGACAACGATTCACTTTTACGATGAGTCAAAGAAATATCAGGACATATAGTTACAAAGAAACCAGACTTTATTACGTTCTCAAGTAACCTGCAGTATTAAAATGGCTCGCTAGATGTCGCATTGACTCGATGAAGCATCTGCGGACCCGTCCATCCGAAGTATTGAAAAATAATAATAATCTAAAGTTACTTCCATGCAGAAATATATTTGCTATCATTCCACCTCATTTAACAAGACACTTACGTTTTCTTGAATATTCAAAGAGCTGGCGTGTCAAAGAGCTAGCGTTATTTCTTTCCAGTTACCCCCTTCGAGGTTTCACATGGAATCATCCAAAGCATACATCCGGGACCTTGCCCGTAGCACGTTCTCTTTCCCGTTCCACCATCTTGGCAAGGTGAGGTTGTGAAATGTCCTCCTTGAATCCGTCGAAAATCGGTGTTATTTCCTCTCATCTGTCCGTTTCAACTGCATAACTTTGTTTCTTAATCTCTTCTAGCCATCTGCAGTCAAGATGAGGGCCAAGGTAAGTTGAAAAGAACCTGATTTAGCTTGAGAAGATGACGAGATTTTGGGTGTAGTTAACTTGTACATGCGTCACATTTTATCGTTTTTGTTCTCCATGACTTCTGCAGTCCTGGTCTTTCTGCTCTTTTACACGAGAGGAAATTAAATGTCTGGTATCTTGAACATTATTTTCCACAAGTTCGACGTTCATCTGTTGCAATCGTGTACTGATCATAATTTTAAATCCGGAAAAAATGTGTCTGGCTGCCATGTGCTTAAAAATGCATGAAAATAATTTATGATGGGTGTGCTCTACGCCATAATAATGAGGCAATTATTGCACCAAGTGCTATAATTTTTCGTCATATTGATTGTAGGAGAATTGATGGGTATTTAGTTAGGTTACGAGTAGTCAACCACATTTCCACATGGCATTTCTGTGCGTGGATGTTCCTGTAGTGACGCCCCCCCCCACCATTTATCAGAAATAATTTAGAATGACAAATTGTTGAGCTCTATTGGTTTTATGTGAACACAAAAAGCTCTGCAGTTGCTTAAAATGGCTTATCTGAATTCTGATCTAGTTTGATGTTCCTCTTTTTTCAGTGGAAGAAGAAGCGTATGCGAAGGTGAGCAGTTATCTTATCACTACATTAAATTGTGCAGAAGAAACCCGTTTTTTGAAGTAAAATTTCTGTTGCATCTCCAAAAAATTGTAATCAGTATGTTGATGTTTGCAAAATACATTTTTGTTGACTATTTTATTGGATCTGAAGGAAAAGCATTAGTTGTGACAGGATTTCTATTGGTTGTTACTAGATCTTTCTCCTGTTTTTGCTTTTGGTGCTGTAAATATGTTGGCCGTTGAATTTGTTACTTAACCTCACTCATGTTCTTGCAGGCTGAAGAGAAAAAGGAGAAAGATGAGGGCCAGGTCCAAGTAGGCATCCTGCCTCCATCCCAGCTTCACAAGTGGACCTGTCCAGGGTGGACTGTATCAACACTGAACATCAGAGGAGACCAAGACCATCCTCAGTAGCCAGCCTTCCTGTGTGTGCAGCGACCGTACTTCCAACAAGCAGGCGTTCAGACGGACTTGTCATTGCAGTGATGCAACACTGTGGTTCCTATCTGAATCTTAGGAGCAGAAAGAACAGACTCTCTCCATTGAAAACACAAACTGTGCTAGCCAGTTGAAGATCGGTTCAATTGTGTCACTTGTTAATCTTTCTGCTTTGGACAGCTGTACACTTGTGAATGCCTGACCTCGCTTACAGCTACTTGTAAAACCTTTTCAGCAAAATCTATTTCTTCTTTCCAATAGATGTTGAATAAAGACTTCTGTTTTGCTGACAAATGTTTCCTGACTTGTTTGTGTGGCCTTTTCAGGGAGAAAGTTTACAGAAAGGGAGTGAACTTGATAAAATCTTAATTTCATAGCGATGTTGAAATGAAATTAAGGGGTGGGGAGTAAAGTAAAAGAAAGGACTGATAAAATTCTAAGTGTACAAAATGTACAAAAAAGTAGTACATCACCTTCGGACCCATTACATGCTGAGCAAGGTAGGGGGAGGGGCATTGCGACAGGTGTTATTAGCAAGGCATCATGACCTGGAAGTCAGTCATCTTTCCCCACATACATGGCATAGGTGTTGTTTTTAAATGTTTGCTGCAGTACTTTCGTTACTCTGTGAAGGAGGTAAATTCATTGGGAATTAAAATTGACAAGGTGACATAGTTTTGTATGTTAAAAGGTAGGATGTTTTAATTCCAGAGGAAAACATGGCAGGATTTTGTGATTTGGTCAAAATTCTGGGTAGTATGGTCTAACCATTTGTCCTTACAGTTGTGGAAGCATACAGCTGAGTAAGCTGGTCAGTGCCATCACAGTGCGTAGGAATACATAGCTGAAAAGGGTGTGTACCTGTGGTTTACCATCAGCTGGAGAATGAGCAGGATAACACTTTATTTTTTTCGCCGCTGAGGGGCGCTTTTGATACATGCCGATTTAAAAGTAAATGCTTCAGACATTTAGAAGTACTCTCCAAGCAGATGTTTGGGGGAATGATCGTTAGCATCTTATCATGATATGGCCGTTTTTTTTGTCGCTAATCCCACCAACCGTGGCCGGCGAACTTCTCTGGCTAATGGATACTGTCTGGCCAATTTGATACTGTCTTTTTGCTACCGAAAGGGATCTGTTTGGAGATTAATATAGAAGCAGGATTTCTTTCTGACTGGAAGAGTAAGATTCTCTATTGTGCAGTAGTGCAGTATATCTATATTTAAATCAATGAGATTTAGAGAATATTTATTTTCAATCGGTTGTAACCGCAGTACAATATCAATGGCAAAAAGCCTGAATAGACACACACACACACACACACACACACACACACACACACACACACACACACACACACACACACACACACACACACACACACACACACACACACGATACAAACATGATTTTTTCATCCTCATTTTATTCACCAAGTTAGCATGTTACATTAAGTATATATAGTGATTCATTTGATATCCCTTTATTGTATCCACTATGACTGAAAGAGGTAACTATTAAAGTGTGGCCTGTGACATGGCTTCTTCACATTTGGCAGTTTTTTATGGATTGTTTTGATGTGATGGCCTGTTCTTGAATGCTGTTCATGAATGTTATTGGTACATGACTGTACATCTATATATTGCTCTCATGTCTCAAGCCTGGGTGTATTGTCTCCAAGATTTGATATGAAAATATGAAAAAAATGTATCCAATTCAAAACAATGTAATCCAGTTATATGATACTGTCATATTTTCCTCTATACGGTTGGTAATTAAGCATGCATTATACACCAGTGTCTAAATCATAACAATATCTTTTTTTTGTGTGATCATCTTACATAACCACCAATTATACTCAAACTAACTGTTGACTTTAGAAAGTTCTGAACAAAAAGTAGTCTCCTAGTCTCCTAACAATATTACTTGTTGCCACCAGTAAAATACTAAATGGTATCTAACGTTGATATTATGAGTAACTATAAGAGGTATTGGAATGGAAACTATTGCAGCCTATTTGAGAACAAATCAGGGGGAAGTGGCAGAGTTGATACAGAGAAAGAAAACTGATGTTGAGAAAGGAATAGTAGTAAATTAGACAATCAATCAATTTAAAAAGTTGAAGATGAAGTGCCACAAGTGATATGATTGACCCTGTCCTTGGTGCTGATCTTCAAATTGTACGTTTATTTTACTAAACATCCCTGTGGCACTTCACCATCAACCTTGTGATAAACAAACACCAATCAGAACACTAAATAAGATGTCTAACAAAACATCTCACTCTAAGTAAAATTTATGATTATATACTCTCTCTCTCTAGATATATGATATATGTATAAAGCTATATATCAATTAACAATATACTGACACCTTACAAGACCCGATGAACAACATTTATAAATCATAAATGTTACAGATCCTAAATGCTCTAAATCACACAATTCAGTCTTAGTGGCTGCCAAGTGATGGTGATGTACTTGTTAAGTATTGTGTTTTGAATTGCGTGTTTGAAATAAGTCAATGATATAGTTACTAAGCTGATAAACTGGTTGACGATGTTATTATATGTATGTCAGTCACTGCACACGGCTGTTCTCAACAGTAACATCCAGCTTCTCATGGGATCATTCAGTTCAGCTTGGTGTCCTCTGTAGGAAGAATAAAAACAGGATTTTTTAGTGCCATTTAGTACATCTTACAGAAACAAAGCTGCATAGAATCAACCAATCCTAAAGCCCTGTCCACCTCCATGGAAATGAAAATATCTGATGAACATGCAGGCACTCTCTCATTGGTCGAACCGCTAATTACTATTCTCTCATTGGTCAAACTGCTTATTGTGATGGACATTCAGGATCAGTCTATTACAAGACGGGAAGACAACAGTGGATAAGGAAGGGTAAAAAAGGATAAAAGGATAAATGTTACAAAAAATGATGAAAAAAAGTGTGGACATCATAAAAGCAGAAGGCAAGAAGAGAACCAAATATTATCCTGGACTGGACTGGAAGTGTATGTCTGTTCACAGAAGGCACTATCAATCAAAAGCATGTCAGACTCTATTTACTGACTCTAGGATCTGTTTGCGAGTGCTGAGATTTCAAGGGCAGGCTGTAACATGTTGGGAAGATCATAATATAGTAGATTGGCCTCAAGATAACCAACATCTCGCATACACAGTCGTCCCTCAGTAAGACATCAGTGTGGGCTTGACTCAGAAAAAAGGCACACACTTACCCATCTCACAGATGTAGCCATTTCTGCCTCCGCCACATGAGACCAGCACCCACTGCAGACGCTTACGATGAATCAGTACGCAGTCACGTCTCTTATGACGTCTGGGTGGAGACTTCCAGTTGGTGAAGTCACCGTCCTCCAAATTTGTACCATCTTTCCAGGTGAAGTAAGACTCGGACTCATTGTCATCCAGACCGATCCACCAGTTCCTGTAGAAGGCAAGAAATGAAAATTAAAGCTATTGTCTTGAAAATTCATCTGTGTTGGTAGAAGTCATGATTCTGAATCAGTTTAAACTGTTATGAATGTTGGTGGATTGCTCATTCCTTGACAAAGACTGGAGTGTGCACACTTGAACAAAAAAGTTTATAAACTGTTTTATAAAGTTAGATATTGTTTATTCTTTTTGTTTGCACTGGTACGTTTTTGTGATTGTTTGATGTACATGAACTTGTCTTGTTTCCCTTTGATGCAAAGTAATCAAATGCTGACAAAGATTACTCCCAAAATGTGATGCAATGATCTAGAGCTACATGTAATGTTACCAAGCAATTATCGTGTTAAAAGAAATAGCCTAATGCTGGGGTCACAATTCCCACACGGGGCTCGGCCGGGCAGCTTTTGGGAACGAAAAGTACGACAAAAAAGACGACAGAACACAGAAAAGTTGTTAATAACAATCATGGGCACTATTTCTGTATATTCTTGACATGAAGTGTTAATTTTTCGTTCATACAAACAGCCCGGCCGGGCCCTGGTTTGGAAATGTGACCTAAGCATAAGCAACAGTATTGTAAGTTCATAGTATTCATACTAAAGTCAAGTCATTAACATCAGCGGAGCAGTTACCTAAACAATGAAAAATAAAGCAACGTTTTCTTCACAAATTACAAAGATTCAATGGCAAGGTCAATGTCACGAAAAGTACCAAATGTAGTTTTACCTTCGCATGCGGAACCCTTTGAGGACACGAGTGACGAAGTCTGATTCTGCCTTGGTCTTGAGGGAAACAAGGTTCCCCTGGCCGCCCTCGCAGTACTGAGAAGCCTCCGGGTATGACAGAAGATCCCGTCTGCGTGAGAACCAGTAGCAGCGGTGCTCGAAGATATGGAAGTTTTTCCCCGGGAACTTGAACTGATCCCTACATCCTGTCAGGAGAAAGAAACAGAAATGTTGGATGGAAGCAGGGAAAGCAACAATGTCAAGTCACTGACGAAAAGTACTGGATGCTACGTCTTATAGTTTTAAAAATCAATCGGGTTGCTTGAGTAACTGTAATGAATATGACTTGCATACAGGTATACTTTTAGAGCCTACATCACGAAGCTCACTGCAGTTCCTTCTTATCCCACTCTTATCAGATTCTATTCTTTCACCCTTTTGTTCCTGTACAACACTGAAAAAACATCTCTGTCCCTAACCTAAAATACATTTGTACATTATTTTGCCAGTACATTGAACTCGTTCAGAGCCCATATATGCTCCTGATTCATGCCTGTGATAGCTAAAATTGAAGATATATGTACTTGTCTATGATCTTTACGACTCACTAGTATCAATTATATTTTTACAAAAGGCATCATACTTGACTCACAAAAATTACACAACTTAATGTGACCTCAAAATTTGGGCTCCCAGCATCTTGTTTATTTTAATTTTTGTGATTGTGAACCTGCCCCCCCCCCTCAGTGATACCCCTTGCCGGGTTGTTGAAGGGCAAAGAAGAAGAAGAAGAAGAAACATCAAAGTGAAGGATGTAAAAGTCCACTCACGTTTGCATTTGGGCGGAGGTTGAGACCATGACTCGTCACCTGTACAGGTGATTGTAGAATGGCCGACCAGGATGAGTCCTGCCTCACAGGTGAACGTCTGTTCGGCCAGGTAGAAACTTTCACCACCAGGACTGATGGTGCCTTGGTTTGGAGCCATCAATGTTGGGCACTGTGCAACTGGAGGGGAGGGAGAAATGATTTTGAACTCAAATGCTTTGGCCATTGATCGTTGCACAAATATCTGGGTAATAACTTTAGGAAAGTTATGCCTGGTCGTGATGCCCCAGTGAGGGGTTTTGACCAGTATCACATAGAAATAGAAATAGAAATTTTATTGCAAATACTTGCCTGAGGGCTAATTGCAGTTACAAACAACATATATATATATATAGAAAGAAAATACAGTGGTATGTGAGACTATATCTACGTCTAGCATTATACTATATTTATTAATAACAATCTGTCCTATCAATTAAAAATGTAGAAGACCTTTATTGTACATTTTTGCTCATTGCGAACTAAGTAAAGGTCACAGCAAATAGCGATGATAGACTAAAATATATCTATAGTAAAACTACATATGTACAGGTTCTGCTTCTTCTCACTCCTTAAGACAGTTACGAGTACGAGGATTATTGAGTTTCGTGAGGAATGTGAATTTTTCTTTTCTATAATACTTAGCATTTGTAGTGTACATGTATGCTATGGACGGATAATGTTATAGACTGTTTACAGATGTTTGGGTACATTCCTCAAGATAATTGACATCTCGCACACTCAGTCATCCCTCAGTAATACTGAGGTCACATTTCCAAACCGGGGCCCAGCCGGGCAGTCTTATGGAACGAAAAGTATGATATAAAAGACAAAGAAACACAGAAAATTTTCGATAATGATTATTGGCACTATATATGTATATTCTTGAAGTGAATTGTTAGTTTATCGTTCATACAAACAGCCCGGCCGGGCCCCTGTTTGGAAATGTGACCTAGGCATAAGACATCAGTTCCCATTTACAACTTATCCATTATCCACATAATGTAGAGAAGATTGACTTACTCTTGCAGTAAGGCACCGTGCCGTTGCCGCTCCAGGTGCCGTTAGCCTGGCAGGTGTACTCCGACTCCCCGACCGGCACATATCCCAGGGTGCAGGTGAAGGTGACGTTCTCCATGAAGTAAGGACCCAGGCCGGTGTAGATGGCACGGCCGTTGACTGGAGGCGGCAACTCTGGGCAGGGGACGGCTGGAATAGAAAACACGGAACTGCTAAGGACTTTTCATAATGAAAAGTGTTTCGAGATTAATACCAAGGTAGTACAAAATGTAGTTCCAGATAGTAGATCCAGAGACACAAACTATGATCCAAATCAAACTAGTTGATCAAAAAGGTATAAAACAAAAAGAATATCATGTAAGCTTGTGAAACTGTATCTTGCAAAAGAACATATTTGAAAGAATTAATCCACCTTTAATTGAATGCCATTTTGCCTTTTTATAGTTTTGCTGTTTTACAATCTAACTACATATAATTATTGTACTTCTAGTAGATGCTTGTAGCATGTCTGTTTCTAGAGGATTGTTGACCACACAATTTTCAAAAGTGTATTACATGAACATGTGTCAGCAAATCTTGATTTTGGGAGTTTTACCATTTCAAGAGAGGAAAGTAGAAACAACTTACGGGCACAAGAAGGGCCGTCATAATCCCAGGTGCCGTCAGCTTGGCAGGTGAGTTGAGCAGCACCATCCAGTTCGAATCCCTCTGCACAGTCAAAGTTGGCCACATCCGGGTAGTACTTGAGACCAGGAGGAGTCATGGTTCCATTTCCTGGTACTATATCTGGTGGGCAGGGGACAGCTGGAACACAGGACATACATGGGAGCTGTTAAAGCTGCAGTTATAAGACTTGATTTTGCAAAATCAGACTTTTCAAAGTCAATACCCTATTCTAAGTCACTCATCAACATTTGCCATGTACTTGGACCACTTCTTGTGGGTGTAGTTCTTATATTGCTTCTAGACCTCACTAAGTCTTGTTTCAATACAATTTATATTACTAATTAGATATATTTGAATTATGCTTAACCTTCTATATTGATTGCCTATTCTGTGTATTTTCATACTTGTTGTCATTGACCATGTAAATTTTGATGTTGTATCATATGTTTTTGTATGGGGGAAGGCAACTTGTCAAGGTGCGTATGCACCTGTTTTGTCCTCCCTTTCACTTTGTGAAAAATCAAAATAAACAAATAAACAATAGAAATTTCTGTCTTACGGGGACATTTAGGAGCAGTGCCGTTCCAGTTGCCCTGAGCATCACAGTACAGGGGGAGTGAGGAGCCATCCATCCAGTATCCCTCGTCACAGGAGAAGGTGGCAACATCATCGTAGAACTTGGGACCAGGCGGGATGATTTCACCGTTTTCTGGATTTGGGATCGTTGGACACTGCACAACTGAAACAGAAGAGATGAACGTGCTTAGATAATTTTATAATGATTTTGAAGTCAAGTATTGGACATTGCTCAAAGCTTACCAGTACTTGCAATAGGCATTATACAGTACTGTAATCGTGTCAACAGTACTCGTGCAGTACTGTAATGGTGTCAACTAATTCTTATTTTTTTCCTGGACTACATATACATACTGTCATACTGTGTACTCTGTTTGTACATAGAACTGTTCAGTATAACCATGACCTGGACTGAGCTTGTATAATAGGGGCATGAATGTAGAACAGAAGTCTTTCATAACCCAAGAAATGATCATCCTTATCACATAAGGTCTGTTCCTTGTGAGAAAGTGTTCCTTGTGGGGTCGTGTGGCGTAGCAGAAGAGTTCTCGACTTGGAACCAAGAGGTGAGACATGCCACCAATCTTGTGCCCTTGGGAAAGGCACCTTACACGACTTTCCTCACTTAACTCAGGTGAAAATGAGTATTGTCCTGTTCCATATTTGTCCTCTATCCTGGCGATGGCATAAAATGTGTTGAAATAACTTGAGTGTGTCTAGTCATGAAAAGTAAGGAATTAAAAAAAAGTGTTCCTTACTTTCGCAGGTAGGAGTGGTGCTGTTCCAGGTGCCGTCCCACTGACACATGTGTGCGGAGTCTCCCTTCAGCCAGAACCCCACGTCACACCCGAACTCCACCACGTCCTTGTTGAGGTAGGTGTCAGAGTTGTTGGTGTTGGTGCTGACATATCCGTCATCGGGGGCTATCGGCTCTGGGCACGGGATAACTGGAAGGCAACGCGAGCAGCAGATTAGCAGAGAGAACAACAGACAAATCAAGGAAGCTGTCTGGATAATAAAGTCAATCTCAGTGATGAACCAGAACTAGGGGGATACAAAGGCCGTGTTTATGTGAAGTCACCCAAGGCGCTTTACATGTGGTTTACCCCGAAGCCAGTTTCAAGTGGCTCCATCTGAACGCTCCAAAATCACATTAAAAGCGCCTCGATCCCAAGCCACTTCTAGAGGTGGTTTCGAATCGCGGTTTGGGTGACTTCACATAAACACGGCCAAACTTAGCCACACAGCAACAGCTGGATATTACACCTGTTAAATCTTTGCACATCTATATCGTAACTGCAAGCATTGTTTAAAACTAAGTGAAGTATTTACTGCATTGGTGGCAAGAAGTTTCACACAAAACAAATTTTGGAACACCTCAATCCTTAGAATTTAAGGTTATTAACTTAGAATTCAAAAAAGATATTGCTTCATGCATTCTTTTCTGAATGAACAGAATTAATCATCCATCAATTTCTGAAGTGTTAGCAATGAGTGTTATGTACTGCTCACATGCCAAACTCAACTCTATGGTATGTTAGGAACTGTAATACGTCAAGTCAAACATACTATATATGGGTTGAAATGAAAAAACTGAAAACACTCACACTCTAGATGACAGAGAGCTCCCAGGTAGCCGTCTGTACAGTCACAGTAGTAGCCGTCTAAGTCAGCGGCCACTTCAGCATTGGCGCACGTTGGGTCTTCAGCAGGCCCGACGCAGGTTCCGCCATTCTTGCACTCTTGGAGTACCAACATGTGGACTGGCAGGGTCTTCGACACTCCGTCATTCGCATCTGTGCCTTGGATGGTGAACGAGTCCTTCGCAAACAAAGAATTTTCCATGAAAGACTCGTCTCTGGCAGTATATGTCAGCCTGGTTAGTATCCACGAGAGGTCGTCTCTTCCCTTGGATCCGGTGTTGTTCAGGTTGCTTGGGCTGCACGCGGTGCAGGTGTCATCAGATTCACTAAGAGTTACTAAATCTTTGATATCCCCTGTTTCACAAGATACGGACTGGAATGTGACGTCCTTACACACTGGGCCGAACTGAAGATCACCGTAGGTTGGTTCTGTGAATTGGAAGTTCAGGTCGTCTGAAATGTCTGGTTGATCGACGTCATACATCCAGAAAACAAGATCGCGTTGGCTGCCCTGCTTGAGTGGAAGCTTTAAGGGGTTGTACTCTAACGTGCCGCGAACGGAAACGACGTTCACACCAGCTTCCAGGAAGGCGAGATCCGGGTCGTCATTTGTCGACCGCACGTCGATTGTAAGGCTCCCCCGAACCTCCAGCGCCTCGGACTGACCGGTAAGCTTCTCTCGGACGATGTAGTCGATTTGATCCTGTCCGTGACAGTGTAGGCATGGCGTATACTGCAGCACTCCCTCTGGACTCATCACCGCGCGGCCCGAAATACTTTCTACAGTTGCAGTGTCCAAAAAGAAAAGCAACTCATCTCCTTCTTCGTCTGTAGCCTGCAGCTGAGCCTTAAGAGTTCCTGCATCTTCCGGCATCCATGTTGATGAAGGGCTGGTGACCACGGGAGCAGAGTTTCTGATGTTCTTGTCGATAGAAAACAGGGTGAACTGCGAGGAGCCTGAGAAGTACAGCGGATCGCTGGAACGGCGGCGCCGCTTTTTGCTGGATTTTTCTGTGATGGGGTGTGTGGAACAAACCTGCAGTGGACAACAACAGTTTTACTCTACAGCATACTTAGCAAAGCCATTATATCATTAATCATCATCAAAAAAGGGGGGGGATGGAGCAATTAAATATGTGACTACAAACTGAGATTGAGAAAAGGGGGCATTAACAAAAACTTGACTGTATTTCTAGAGGCAGTATAATGTCATGTAGGTTATATTGGCCGACATTCGTGTACACTATACTGATATAATTATTGCAAATGAATGCTGAATACCAAAAGCAGTCTTCTTTGTTCTCTCATTGCAGAAGTGTTCTTAAAATTAACCATTGACTACTAATTTGTGCAAGTTAACTAACATGTCTAAATACTCCAAAGAAGAGGATCTTTATGTTCCTACAAATGACAGTTTTACTCACTTTCACACTTAACAAGCTCTTTTCCTCATCATACTCTGAGACGTAAGAACTCGGGCAGGTAGTGGAGGCATCCATCCACTGTGGAGGGTCTGCAACAAATTACATCATTAATTTTACTGTCAACATGTACATTGTACAGTACCATAATTTTTAGTGCAAGCCATCTGATTAACTGTTACCTGACTTCAAGATTTAAAACATTTTTGTGTACATTCTTTAAAGATCAACAATTTAATGTTTCTTGCATTGCTAATAAACACTGAGACATATATTGCAACATTGCATCTTGACAACATACATGTACATGTACACCACTCTGTTTTCATGAATCTTTCAGGGATATGTTTCCAACCATTTTCGGAGATGTCTCAGCGATATTACCATTATCAACACCAGAACTATTTATGACCATGTTAACCTGATTACTTGCTAACCTACCAACAGTATGACAGACAGTTTTTCTAAAAAAATATGCACATTCTACAAAAAATGTGAATATTGGCATGCATAAATGTGTGTCTCTTCTGTAACACAGGTTTCCACACAGCTTTCTGCATTCCCCTATATTATAGGATCAGATGAAAAGCTGCTAGAAGAAAGCTTCAGTCACTAGTACTGCAACACCACACTTTCTTCATCTACAGTTGAAACATGATTGCTACAATAGATTTAAATATCACATGTTTGTTATGTCTTTCAGAGAAGCTCGGGCATTATCACTAATACCAGATTCAGACAACGTTCAACAACTACCTGTGTTCCAGAACAGCAGTGCAGGCAGAGTGCCTTCAGGAAACTGTTCAGAGTTGAGTGGGAGGGTGATCTCCAGCGGGCCTGACAGCGGCTTCTCATGGAGGAGACTGACGAAGAAACTCTCCTGTACTGTCAGCAACCTGTCAATCAAAAGACACGAGATATAACACAACACTATATTTTTGCAGGGCAAATGCATAATGTTTACCTTCACATGGTCTAGTCTTGGAAACTAATGCACTGTTTATTCTTCATGTCACTCAAGCACACATGGTGACCTGCCCCTCCAACTCTCCCCTGCTACATAATGTAACCCAACACCACAGGGTGTCTTCTATATATACAGCATCAGTTTCCATGGTGACAGCCGTCTGGACCAGGTCATTGACCTTATATGTGTTTGGAACAGAAGAAGAAGAAGATGAAACAGAGCAAAATCAAATTGTTTTTTTTTCTGCAAAGGTAAACATAACTAAGTCTTAGAGATTTTCATTGACATCATAATCATCATAACTTAATTTTGAATAACCACAAAACATGTCGGTGGTACTGGTAAGTGGATTGTAGTAGCAGAATGTTGGGTTTGCCAACTGTTTAACTTTCATTCTACCATTTGGCACCAAACTTGTATTGGTTATGGGGCTAGGCAGCAAGGAATGGACATTCCAGTAAGGTTCAGAATCTGGAGACTCTCTTGACCACAGCTTACCTTCCGTTCAGGATTCTTTCCGTTTGGTTTATAGTTTTGAACGGGCTGACAATGAAGGGAGTGAAGTCCTTGGAAGCACCAGAGGAGTACTCCTGTTCTTCATCCTCTGCGTTCAACATGCCTGCCAGCAGACCATCACCCGGGG